AAGTAGTCGAGGTTCATTTAGCTGATGATTCTGGAATTACTCCAAAAGCAAGTTGTGAGTTAATGGCTAGGCGAGCTGGTGGTCGTGAAAATCTTGGATTCATTCCTGAAGACTATAGAAATTATTTACGTTCCAAGAGAACAATGCAAATGAAGTCAGGAGATACAGGTGGTGTGCTAGAGTACTTGCAAAAAATGCAATTAGAAGATTCTAATTTCTTTTATGCAATACAAGTCGATGAGGATGACTTAATTACTAATATCTTTTGGGCTGATGTGAAGATGATGATTGATTATTCATATTTTGGTGACGTTGTTTGTTTTGATACTACTTATAGAAAAAATAAAGAAGGTCGTCCATTTGCAATGTTTGTTGGAGTCAATCATCATAAGCTTACCATTATTTTTGGAGCAGCATTATTATATGATGGAACGGCTAAAAGTTTTATTTGGTTGTTCAATACTTTTGCTAAAGCTAACAAAAAAAGATTATAAGGGACCAAAATAGAGTTTTAACCTAAAAAAAATTATCTTCAGTGATATAATAGTAAAATTGTGATGGTCCCACACTACAACTTTTCTCTCTAATTCAAAATAAATAAATAAAATTGATTACATTATTTATGATTATGATATATATCATTTTATAATTATGTTTTTTTTTACTCTTTTTTTTATCCTTGTACTAAATAACTAAACAATCATTTCATTTTTTTGATTTTTTTTTGGAATATTAAAATTATTTTAAATATTAAATTTAATGTTATGTTTTTTGATTGTGTAGATGAGGAGAAATGTTAAAAAAAAAATATATTTGATTTAACACTTTCAATGTTGTCAAAAAAAAGTCGTGTGTTTTTATAAGTTATATTGATGTTGAAAATCAATTCAACATTCTGAGTAGGTATAGAAATTAATTAAAAGAGGGAAGTAAGAGGGTAATAATGCAAAAATTAAAAAAGAAAAGATGAAAAAATGTATCATAAAAATTGAAAAAATTAAAATTATTTATTAAAATAAGTGAGAAGTGGAGAAAGATAATAAAAAAAAGTGTATAAAATAATGTTAAATTGAATGTTGAAAATGTAAAATTATAAATTAATAATTTAAAAAAAAAATTAAAAAGGAGGTGTAAATAATATATATATATAT